CAATTCCTGTAGTCATATTCTGCAGCTTAATTATCCTGTTGAACACGGACGCCCCCGTTACCAGGCTGGCAGTCCCTTAAACTGTAGATGTTCGGTAGATAAACTTGAGAGAAACTCAAATGAATACATGGTCACAATAAGATGATTCCTTCTAATTTTGCTGACCTTTTGACCCTTTTCAACAGTCAAATAAATACCACAATCCAATGGGTTGACAGTTGCAAAATTGTCAGCATATTGTTTGTTTAGATCAATACTATAGTAGATAGACAGATAAATAGAGAGACAGAGAGATCGATAAGAACCTGTGATGTGACGACTGTCTCTCGACTTCTTTTTCTGTCTGTACGATGTGTCTGGTGTTTGTTATAGACTTCCCTTGATGTGTGTCAAATGATGTGATTCTCCAAGATGTGGCTGGTTTGTGTAGATTTTGGTCTTGAAAACCTATTTTCAGAACATCCACTTTGGCAGGCCAATCATTGCACTTCTGCCCATAATCTGTCTGGAATCTGTAACTTTGCATAAAAGCAACAGAACTGCCACAACAAATGACAGCCAACAAGCTAAAATTGTCCACTGGCGTATATACAACTGCAAAAAGTGGTTTTTTTGACATATAACAGTGGGGGGGGGCAGCAGCAGTTTTTTTTAATCAAATGTTGCCACTTGCTGGAAGTGTTGCTCATTATTGTCTAGTTTTATACTGCACGCTATAATACTTATTTTTCCCATCATAAATCTTTTCCTATTATTTATCTTTTAAAATTCTGGTATCTTTAAAGAAACCTCATCCTTCTTGTAAATCAAATCATGCCACATTTGTGTCTCTCCGCGGTATCCTCTGTTGCCTCATATGTTGCCTCTGATGGTTTAATACATTGGTGGTCAGTGAACAGCTGCGTGTATGTGTGTGTGTGTGTGTGATGGCTGATTGGTGGGTTGGTTGGCTAGTGGGATAAGGGGATAAGCAGTTGAACGGTGATCCCTCTACGTTCAGGGTCACTAGGCCTCACGTGCTCATCACTTCTCATGCATCCTTTTATTCAATCTCTCGCTGTCTGTCACAGTTGTTTGTTCTTCTCTCTCTTTTACTGTCTATCCTGTTAACTCTATTTTGTTTTACCACACCCGCCTTGCAGGGCTAGCGAGATGCCTTGCCTTGTTTGTTGTCTCTAGTCCTCACACTTTCTCATTCTGTCCATCTCAGTACTGTCCTCACATGCTACTGAAGGTCTTAATCTTTTGTCCTGATTTACAGGACTTTGTCAAAGGTCATAGGCTTTCTGTTACTTCTTTCTCACCACACCAGCCACTCATAATATTTAGATGTGTTGAATGAGTTCAGAGATCCCTTAAATACTAGGTCGGGTAATGTAGGTAACTATTATTTTAATGCTATATACTAACTAAGGAATTCAATTCATAGACTTCCCTTTATTCCTTTCATTTTAAGGGAATTTGGGAAATTTCAAATGAATAGGGGAAAAAAAAGTCATTAATTAAACACTTAAACTGTGGTGAATTCAAGAATGATGGCAACATACTGTTAGGAAATGTCCTAATCTGGGTTTGATAACTCCGAAAGAATATCATTTTTAATGTTTTTATAACAATTTTCTTTCTTTTTAAGCTACTTATATTTCTGTTTCTGCCTCTTGAGAGTCCTCTTATATTACTTTTTGGGTGATTGAAGTTATAGTCTGCTCTCTCCTTCCACTTCCCTGTCAATTAATATGTGTAGGCCTGTATGTTTCAACAAATGGTGGCCTTTTTCCTTTCCTCCTCATCAACCTCTGTTAGTCTTTGGTCAATGACTTTATCAAGTTACCGTGACAGGAAGGATTTCCTGCTGATCACAGCCTTTTCTCTTACTCTTATTTACACTGTTTATCAGAAAGTATTTTTCGTCACAGCTGGCTTTAAAGAGAACATAACTTGGATACTTCATCTAGGATATAATTGGATATCAATTTTCAATTGCATATTAGCAGTGTAGTAAAGATGCTGTTATTTACACTCTGGAGGGTAGGTAATGCTGCATTCACGTCATATGGGGTGATGATAATTATAGGAAAGATTCACATCTTAACAACTTGTAAGCATTCACGTCATCAAGAGGGTTTTATGATTACATAGTTCTGATGTAAGGCATCCGTATTTGTTTGGTTTCTAGCCATTTCCACATTGTTATGCCAAGTCAGATATGCAGTGTAAGGGCCTTTAGAAAAAAGAGTTTCCCAGTTGTTAAACTTTAAACGTAAATCAATAAATAAAGTGGGCAATGAGTGTGAAATACATCTTAAAAGAGAAAGGAAAATAAAACGTTTTACCGTTTATTTTATGTGTATTTTATAGAGTCATTTGCATCATTTTTCTTTTCACTTCATATCACTGGTATCATTTCTTGACCTGGTTTATCAGAAGCTGTGGAGATCAGTGTCTTCTCCCAGTAGGAAACATAACAGCATTTATTTTTGAAGGGACATAAAAGTAATGTGTTTGAACTGATTTTCTCCTTTTAAAAACATCTGGGTAAATTACTGTGAAAAACAGAAAAAAACATACAAAACCAGTATTGCAGGACAGTACAAGACTGTGTGCCCATGACACAAAATTACACCAGCCTAGCAAGATAGGTCTCAGTATGACAAGACTATTATTTTCAACATCAACACAACTATAATGGCTGCATGACAAACATTTGTGTTCTGCATGCATAAAAGTGTGTTTTATTACAACAGAGAAGCAGAAATTAATTAAACATGCTGTGACCAAGTCTGAGCGATAATTTGCTAATTTTATACATTGATTCATGAGGTGGAAGAGCAGTGTCCCCGCCTGTGTTAAGCTTTCCTCAAAGGAACATTTAAAAAGCTGTACTTCACCAGTGACTTCACCTGTTGTTCCCCAAAGTGCCCCCAATCCTCCCTCTCACTCCATAATTTCCATCAAGCCTCATGCTCAGCATGACCACAAATGCTTTACTTTCCCCTCGTCTTAACCCTTCTTTTTTTTTTCAATTTCTTTCTCTGCTCTTAAACACAAGATGGCTGTGTGTAAGTGTGTGTGCATGTGTTTGCCTGTGTGTGGTTTCTGAGTGATAAAAACACCATTTCATTCCCTCTTACAGCACAAACCATTCCCTAAATAATGGATGGGCTTTGATGGAGGGCATATGCCAGAGTCAGATGTAAAGCTTCTATGTCTCTCTCTCTCTCTCGCTCTCTCGCTCTCTTTCTCTCTCTCTCACACACACACACACACTCACACACATATCTGATCTGTGCGTCAGAGACAGGTTGGAGACTGACTGCATGGATGGACAATATCAGACCTATTTCTAATCCTATTTGAGGATTAAAATCAGGTGGTAGGTAACACTTGTTTTGGTTTTTGTTCTGTGTTTTTTTTTTTTTTCAAGCCAGCTCTGATCCAGGATCTGACTGTCATGTTATGCAACAAAAACTGAAATTCATCATGACCTTTTGTGACAAGGTACACTAGCAAAATACAGAAGTTGTCCAAATAGTGGTTTTGCATTTTGGCTACAAACAAGGGAGGCTGGAAAGTCAAGAGGTCAGAGAAAATCAGTAGGTAATATGAAAATATTTACAAAAAAAGAAGAAGAACAAGCATAATACATAGAATAAATAATTAAATGATAATAATATAATAATGACTTTATTCAGGACAGAATAGAAGGTCCATAGCACACAGATAAAACAAGACAACAACATCTACAACATAACAATAAGTATACAGTACATTACATTTAAAAATTTATAAAAAAAATTAGAAACAAAAAAACAAAATAATTTTAGCTTTTGATTGTGGTACTGTATTCAAATCTCAGTTTTTGCCTTTGCCAAGGACAAGTTAGTGAGATGAGTTAGTGAGTTGATTTCAAATAAATTAAATGGAAATGTAGATTGTGGGTTGAAAAACAAAGATTTTTCTATCACTTAATGCATTTTTATGCAGATCCAGGTTCCGATTTTAAAAATCCTAACATTTAATATTGTTAAAATATTGTGAGCTTTTTCAGATTGCTTCTTAGTTTTTTGTTTTTTGTTGCATGATCAGTTGCTGTCATATTGGAAGTAAAAAGCATCCACTTGCCCCGCCATATTTTGGCACCTCGCCAAACACATCCATTACAAAAGAAATGTCTGAAACCTGAACCTGCAATTCTCTGGAAAAGACCAGATTTGCCCTGATACCTGGACTGGTCTCTGGGCTCTCATTTCACTTCTCAGTTCAAGAATCTTTACTATTGGTTAACCAAAATCTTCACAAAGAGTTCACAGACACACAAGCATATAAACAAGCAAACAAACACATGGAGACGGTTACTGTAATGATAATCATGCAAACATGTAGGAACATCATTTTGACTTCTTCAGTGTGTGGCAAGTAGCCACATGAACACAAACACACACATTCCACCCAGCTCCTCCCGCCCACCCTCTTCTCTCCATCATCCCAGCTGTGAAGTGTCATCGGAGATGACTGACAGCTAAACTGAGGCAATATGAATATGAATGGGACTGTGAATATGAATATGCAGATGAGGAGGGGAGACAGGTTGCTTGCTTGTCTTCTCCTTAAGACAGATCTGTCAGAAAATGATGGATGTTATCCTTCACCTCTCACTACTTTAGGATAACACTGGCCCACTTACTGACCTGATGGAAGAAGAAATGTACGGTATTGCGTCAGAGATGTGTATAAAAAACAAATGCTAGGTCCTGGAGGGACCGAATTTAGCTTAAATTCACATATCTTAAAAGGAGACAAATTATAGCTACTAGGATGCAGTCATTGTGTGTTCAGAAAATGTAAAAGGGAAAAAAATAAATGTAGTTTTTAATAATTTTGTAATACATTTGTGAAATTTTAGGTTTCTGTAACAGCCTACTATAAGAATTTCCCAGAAATAAATCTCATGGCATTCTGATATAAGGTCATTTTCGACCTATGTCTTTCTGTTTTTTCAGTGAGATCAATCATCTGGAGTCAGGCCTGGTAGTGGAGCTGTGGAATAAAGGTTTGATCTGGGACACTATGATCGGCACAGCACTGATACCCCTGGACACTATACAACAATCTGATGAGGTAAACACACCCTCATCATTCTCATCCAGATACACTCTTGCACTTGCAAAATCATGTTTTCCCTGAGCACAGAAGTTCATTCTAGATTTAAGGATCAGTATGTTTGACAAAATGATCTCAACTTATGGTTTATCGCCAAACTGTTTCTGTTAATGCCCCACAATTACTATACCTCAGCAACAGGAAGTAGAGAGGCGGAGAAATTATGTGATGTTGTATTCCACATTGCCGGCCCTCACAATAGGCACTTGTGTTATTGATGGATGAGCTTTACAGTATAGACTGCTTAGGCTGCTTGAGCTCAGAACAGCCCTCAAAATAAACACACATGCTCACCTTCCACCTAGCCGTGCTTACTTATTAAAAACACCATCTTTACCTGTCAGCTAAGTCTTAAAAAGCGCTCTCACAGGTTGCCAGTTAAAAGCAGTTGCCAACTAATCTTGTCTCACCTCTAGACCTCATTGCTTTTTCTGGAGAGGTCATTAATAATGCAGTCCTCAATGTTTGACATCCCCCCTTAGTTTTAAGCACAGTAAATGTTAACCCCTATTCTATTTCTATTTCGCAGTCTGAACTGCCAGTCTTGTTCCTCGGTTCTTCATCTTTTCATCTTTGCTCAGGTTTAATGAATGGCCTTAACCCATCCCCGCCCTCAATTATCATGTTGGCGCTTTGATTCTCAAAGAGTAAATGTTTCTATCTTCTGTATTTTGTCTTCCTTCTTTCCCTCTTGACCTCTTTCTTTCTCTTTATCTCCCTTCCCCTCTCCTCTCTCTGTGTTTCTCTTTTCCAGGAGGGACCAGGAAAGTGGACATCTCTTGACTCTGAGGTGTTAATGAGGGAGGACGAGATCTGTGGGACCAGCAACCCAACTCCACACCAAGTGCTGCTGGACACCCGCTTTGAAGTGCCCTTCGGTATGAACATGGTCAAAAGCACACATTTGCACAAAAAACATCCTGATAGTAAAGCATCAAAAAGCATTATTGTCCGAATGTTCTAACTATCATTTTTCTATCTCTGTGACCGTAAGAGCTAAAGATGAAAAAGAAAAAACATATCCTAGCAGAATATAGCACTGTAGCTTATTGATCTTTCAATAACATTAGACAGCAATATCTAACATCTTGATAATGAATAAACATGTATACTCCATTCATAAATTACCTCTTTTTATGTTAACAAAATCAGAAACACCTATTGATCATTTAACTAACAATAAGATAAGGGAATGTAGACACACTGTACATGTAAGCTAGATTGTAGATTGTAGAAATATACAATTATAAGTGTTGTCACTGTACTTCCAACACATTAATTACTAACTAACACAATTTTTACTTAGACCGTAGCCAGGCTATTACATTTTCCCTCTTCTGCTACACCTACTTCTTTTTTTCTCTGGCTATGGGGAAGACCAGTGAGGCCCCTCAGGTGGTTAGTAATTCTATTTCTGGGCCCCCCAAAGGAAACCTCCTCATCAGCTATTAAACACACATGAATATAAGATGGGAGCACATCGAGCAAAGTGAATGGGATAAGACCAGATGGAATAGGGGGCATGGGGGTGAGGTGACTGAGGGAAGGGTGGAGCTACATTTCTTCTTGCACTTTGCCTCACATTCAGTGTTTTGCGCTCTTCTTCCTCTTCCTCTATTATTTACATTATTTACTTTCTTTCTTCGTCACCCCATCCTCAATCCTGCCATCCATCTCTCCAACCCGTGTCTGAATTTCCTCCACTTCCCCCTCTTTAACCACCCTCTCGCGCACTCTCCTCCACATATTTCCCTGTCACTCTTTACATTTTTCTCACTTTCAATCCTTCTATTTCATCTGTCCAATCCATCGGTCCAGATATCCCAGAAGACGAGGCTCAGTACTGGACCAGTAAACTGGAGCGGATCAACACCATGCGGATACACGATGAGGTAAGTTTACTGAAAAATTCTATTTCCTGTTAATAGGTTGTGGATTATTAAACTATTAATGACGTTGCAGTCCATTCATGAGTCTCAAAGGAGATCTTAATGCTTACAAAACAGTGGGGAAACCCAACTAGGACAAAATGCCTTTTTCTTCACCTTAAAAGTAGGTAGTTGGGGAAGAAGTGTCAGTAAGGTAAGGGTAAGTAAAATGAACCATTGGTGTCACTTGAAACTACATTTTACAAGCTGTACAGGATGATAGCATTCTGATCTTTGTGTGTAAAAACGTAATATGAATCATAAAATCTGTCAGGCATTTACTGCATGCATCCATACTGCTGAAACCCCAAGTAATTTTGAACTGACTGTAAATTTGCACTCACTATTCCTGTACTAGATCACTCTCTGTAACTTCTTTTCTATTGTATTTTCTATTTTCAAACCGTTCCCCCTGCTGGACCTGACATGCAGCAAAAATTCAGTGAACACGCAGCAGAAAAGAAACTTCTATAGCGTAAAACCAATTATGAAAGGAAATGCTTCTTTAAAGTGTGGTTTAAGTCAGTTTACATTTTAAAGAAAGATTTTGTCTTGTACAACTGTGCTGTTTAGAAGTTTGTTATTGGGTCTTATGCACAGACTGATTCTGTATGCTTCTGAGAGCAACTGCACCCTTCTCAGCAGTCTGTATTGGCTTTCTGCTGCCATCTAATGAAAAATAATAGTTATTGCATCACAGATGTTCTACAAATTCTGGACTCACATGTGTCTTTTTCCTACTAAATCATTTATCTTTATCTTCCACTGTCCTCCCTCACTTTTTATTTTTCTCTTCTCTTGATTGTATTTTTCTCTTGTGGCAGTATCCACTGCAGGAAGAGGTCCAGAGAAGACCAATGGCATCTGTACCCTCTCAGTGCTGTGAGTAAAAAAATAACAATTCACATTTGTGCCATAACATTTTCACATGTACTTGTGTTTGTGTTCTGTGGGTCCTTTATTCATTAATGTCTCATCCCACACTGATGACCCTGATTTGGACAAAATCTTTCTCCCTCCTCCTTGTGGAAAAGACATTTCACATCAGCCAGCAGTCACATTCTGATGCATATGAAGTCCCCACTTATTTTCCCAAAAAATCAAGCTTGCTGTTTGCACACTGAAGAGGATTTTTGGGCACACCAGTCACTGTTAATGGAAGTTATGAAGAACTGTGTTTCCTGCCTGTTGTATGTCACTCATACTGTTCTACATGAAATTAACTCGGTCATCACATTACTTCATGACTTCTTCACACAGATTTCACTTCACTTAATGTTATTTATCCCAAACCGTTATTACCATTCATCATTTCTATCAAGCTTCACAGATTTGAGTGTTTTCAGTCCCACTACATGCTACATACTCATTTGGCCATTACCAGTCACAGTTACTGATTTGATTCTTCAGTAATGAAGTTCACTTTTCTTCACTTGCCTCCATGCCACCAGGCAGTTGGAGTTATTTCGGATGGAGTGACCAGCAGAGTACGTATAGTGGTTGTGGTGTTTTTCCCTGTGACTTGTCATTGACTCCACTTCTGCTCTTTTTCTTTCTTTTTAAATAAGGAGCACTGCATGTTCGGTTTGAATCCTTTGTTTGTCTTTGTTGTATTTGAAATTTCAACTTTCTTGTATCCTCCTGATCAGAATACAAAGTGCAAATGTGTGTGTGCCAATTTTGTTGACATATTGTAAGTGGCATTTTGAGTTACATTATTCATTTGCTACAATGATCCAATTTCTTGTTGTTTCTGCCATTGTAAGCTTGGTGTTCATGATTTTTGTATTATGTGCCTGCTACCACAAGAGGGAGCTTTTTATTCAAACTAACTGAATTGTTTGGCCGTCTTCCTTGCATCCTAGCACTGTCCATGCAGCCTGACTCTCAGATTAAAACTTTTAAAATTCTTACGTGTATGGTTGGAGTTGCACTTTGGCTCTATTATGTTTAAAATCACATGTCTGAAGTACAAGGGGAGGGTGAAAGCAGAATAAGGTTTTATAGTATTTATGAGCTGTGAGCAGACTATCTATATTATTATTATAATTATGTCTACCAGGCCCTCTGGTAGACATATATTTATGTCTACCAGAGGGCTATTCTATCAAGAAATTAGTGAATATTATCTTAAAATCTATTGTCGGACTTAGAGTTTCCTGCATATTTTGAAAGTTATCAACTAATCTGTATTAGAAATTATCCTGTTTGTGTTCTACTTAACCGATTGTGTTGTCTTTGCCCAGCTTTTGAGGACCATGATAGTGCAATGGATGACCGCGACAGTGACTACCGCAGTGAAACTGGCAACAGACCTCCACGGTTCCACAACACCTCCCAGACAAATTCATCAGTGCACCAATACCCTATAGGACGCAGGGTCCTACATCAAACCTTGTCCAGGGAGTCTGACTCTATACAAAGCTATGAGCTAGACTATAGAGAAATGAGGGGGCGCAGGTAAACACACACCCACTCACAGACACGCTATTCTCTGCCCTCATCATTGCACTACCACTTGAGAATCATTTCTATTCATGCATGTGTGCCTTTTGTGCTGTGCGAGTGGCAAGAGAAAGATAATCCATTGATAAAGGTTTTGAAATACTTTTTTTTGGTTTACAAATACCACCACAGTCCCCTTTGAAAGCAGACGTGGTACGGCCTTAGATAGTTGTTCTGTAGCACATACAACACCTGTAGCATTACTGAATGCAGTAATTATTTCTGTTGTTGATATCATATTAAGTGTCTCATTTAACACTTTTAATCTGTTGCTTATACTAGTTGACAGATTGTCGGTTATAGAATTTTCATCATGTAAACAATTTAAGTTTTGACATGGGAAAACTAAAAAATCTCTGACAAAATCTGAGAAAAAGCTGTTACAGCCAACTAGCTAGCCTACCAAATAATAATACTGATATATACAAACAGCAAACTTTACATTTACTTTATTCAAGTGCACAAAAAAGAGGAACTTTTGCACAGTATAAAACAAAATAATATTCCTTCCACATTTATACTTGGCTTTTTTCATTTGCTTTCTATTTCTCTGAACACTTTCTTTACATGATCTGCTGCTTTTGTTTCATGTCTTGATTAATCTATCTTTCTTTCTTTTTCTTTGCATTGTGTTCCACTGCGTCCTGCATGGCACTTTATTTTTCTTGAATTCAGGCGATCAAACAGTAGGGTCGGAGTAAGAATAATCCCTGTTGACTCAGGAATGGGTGTGGAGGATTGGGAGAGTAAATATAAAGTGCCTGACTCAGTTGTCTTGGATGATTACTTGGACACTGAGCAGAAAATGTGGGAGGACGAAGATAAAAGCATCATCTACCGGATCAGTGACCACGCTTGTGAGCCCAAAGGTAGCAGGTTTTATCAGACAGTAGAATGTGATGCACTATCCCCTGACGATACAGAGGAACTGCATGGCAGTCCACACAGACAGAGGCGTGGCTTTGGTAGTGGAGAAGTACGGTTAGTTTATAAGGAAGCTGGCAGCTTTGAGGATGAATCATCCCCTCCTGAAATTGATATAATTCCCTCTGTCAAACAGCAACGACAGCAGACAGACAGAGAAGGTCTACTTTACAAGACCAGACTGTGGGCCAAAACTGCCTTAGAGGATACACTTGAGAGCTATGCAGCATTTCGTGAGGAGGAGGCTGCTCGGGAAGAGGCTGCAAGGATCAGGGGAAGGAGTGAATATGGCTCAGTTGGTTCAGATGAGATGCAGTATTCTTTTGGATCTGAGGAGGAATTAGATGAACTGACATTCACTGAGGGGGATGCTAGTTATGAATATGAAAGTTACTACTACCCTGGCAAGTATATATCAACTTTTGGAGGACAAGGCTATTCAAGCAAAGGGAGATCCAGTCATGGACAAGATCCTATTTTGTCTCCTGTAGAGGAGCCAAGTGATGAATACGTAGATGCAATAGATGAACTTCAGAGCTTAGTTCATTCAGTGTCTGAATACCTAGCTGTAAAAGAGGAGGAGATCAACAACTATGAAGCAATGCCTAAACCAATTAGAAGGAAACTTCCAGCACTTCCAACCGATGCTAAAGTTGTGCAACCGGGGGACAGTAATGAAATCAAACCTGAAGTTAAGGAGGACAGTGCTGTTGAACAGGGCATAGCTGGAGTAAAGAATGCCATGAGTTCATTATTCAGTACAATCACAGGATCAAAGTCTACAACTGAAGTGGAAGCCTCTGGCTCAACTCCACCACCACCACCACCACCACAGACAGACTCTGGCATTTCAAAACTACTCTCTTTTATTCCTAAAGCCAGTACTGAAGCCACAGAAACTTCTGGTACTACTGCAACAGAACCAAAAACCTCCCAAGCATCACCTCAACCTGAATCTGGCATTTCAAAGCTGCTTTCATTTATTCCCAAAAGTGGTGGTACTTCCCCCCCAGTAGCCATTGTTCCTCCTGCCACCCAGGAGCCTACAACAGAAAAAAAGTTTTCCCTTCAGTCTCTTTTGCCATTTCAATCCTCTGAATCTAGTCGGCAAGCTGACACTGATCAGGCATCAACACATGTTGGCACTGGGGCACAAGGCAGTGCAACCACTGCTAACCAATCCACGTCTGGGTTTGAATCCATGTTAGGAAGGCTTAGTCCTTTAAGACTTTTTTCTAGTGCCCCGCCATCTGGAGAGCCGTCACCTCAGCCATCAGAGCAAAGAAGTGCATCTGCTGCAAGCAATGAATCCCAGCAAGGGTCTGTAAACAGAGTCACAAGTGGAGAGGGCTCACAAACAGAGCGACAGTCATCAGGTGAGACAAGACCAGGTTCAGGAAGTGGATCAGTTGAACTTTTGCCAGATACTGGAAGTGGATCAATTGAGCTGTTGCAAGAAACGGGAAGTGGGTCAGTAGAGCTTCTTCCAGAGACAGAGTCCTCTGGTGAGCTACCTGATATACAGCAAAAAAGAACTTCTGCAATTTCTGAATCAAAACCTGAAAGCAGTTCAGAGGAAACAGGATTTTTTAGTCCTTTTAAGAAATCTCTTTCTACCCTCATATCAACAGCTCCTCCTGAAAATTCCTCGCAGACTGACACAAAGCCTGCGGAGGAGTCATTTTTAGGCAGCAAACTCAAAATTCCATTTTTCTCCTCTGAAAATATTTCCACAACAACCCCACCAAAAACTGAAGGAGGCGTGCTGTCAGGGATTCTAAAGTTTGCATCTGGTGATGATGCCAGTGCCCAACAAAAAAGTTCATCCCCAAGCCCTGCAAGAACTCCCTCTCCAAGTCGTGCTGCACTTCTTGAAAATGTTCCAAAAGGAAACACAGAAACTGGCTGGTTTTCAAACCTGTTTAAGGTAGCCCCAAGTGAACCTGCTAAGGAACCAGCAAAACCACAAGTGACTCCCACTGTAATGCTTACCAAACCTAGTGGTCAAACTGAGACACATACTGAACAAATGGTGCCTGAAAACACAGAGAGCACTGTCTGTAAAACAGAACATCTCTCTCAAGAGCAAACATTGTCTGAAAAAGATCCCCAGTGCAAGACAGATGTCCAACCTGAAACAGATGTCACAACTAAAGGTCATTCAATGCCTGAGGAACAAGCAAAATCACAACCACAAGCGTCACAGGCTCAAGGAATTCTTTCTGGATTGTTGAAACTAGGATCAACAGAAGATACGTCTTCTGACAAGATAACTCAGGGAAGGGGAGGCCATCCTCAACAAGGTGGCCTATTTTCCGGCCTATTTTCATCACCTTCCCAGTCTTCTCCCCAAACACAACAGACTTCTGCCACACAACAGTCAGGAGGACTGTTGTCTGGAATTTTAAAATTTGCCTCTGATAATGTTTCTACTCCTACAAATCAGTCACTGTCAGCATTACCAGGAGGGCAATCTGGTCAAATTATAACTCAAAGGCAAGGTCAACCTGCTGCTGGACAGCCACCTTCTGGAGGACTCTTATCTGGGCTCTTGAAAAAAGCTACAGACACAGTTACTGGGTCTCAGCCAACTCAGTCTAGTCAAGAGTCACAACCAGATGCAACTGACCATACAGCAAAAACTGAAGGATCTGAACAAAACTTGAGTCAAGGGACCACTCCTCCTACTCAGTCAACAGGGCTGTTGTCAGGATTGTTTAAATTAGGTTCAACTGAAGCACCTCCCCCTGTTAAAGGTCAACCTGACCACCACCTAAGACAACCTGAAGCCCCAGATCAACAACCAAACCAACAGCAACAGCCTGACCAAACAACAGAAAAACTACCTCCTAAAGCAACAGCAACAATGCCTCAATCTAGTGGATTGTTTGGGGGATTGTTGAAACTCACAGAAACCTCTTCCCAGCCGCCAAAAGGACCTCTGGTTACGCAATCTACGCAATCAAATGAGCAATCGGGTAACATGTTGTCAGGACTTTTTAACAAGATTGTGGAACCCAATCCTACTCCATCTCATCTACAGTCAGAGTCAGGGGCTCAAGAGACTAAACCACAACCAGTGCAAGCACCTCCTCAACAAGGAGGCTTCTTCTCTGGTCTTTTTGGAATTGGGGCCCAAGACTCTGCTCCTGCAAACAAAGCCCAGCTCTCACAAAACCAGCAACATAGCAGCCCATCCAGGCACCAACCTAGTCAGCAACTGGGCAAACAAAACCTACAACAGCAAAACCAAGTCCCTCCACAACAGCCCCCCAGTAATGCAGGGATGCTCACTGGATTATTAAACAAAATTGCAGATGCAGGCAACCCACAGTCTGCAGTGGGGACTCAACCAGAGCACCAACAGGCGCAAAGAGCAGGCCCTAAGACAACCCAGCAACCACCTAATCAACAGGGAGGCTTCTTCTCTGGGCTATTTTCAGCAGGTCCCACTCCTCTTGCACAGCAGCAGCCAAACCAGCAGCAACCCCAACATGGTAACAGACAGCCTCTGAGGAGGCAAAACCAGATTCCTCCACAGCCTGCTGCATCTGCTCCAGAGCCACAGCAAGGTGGCCTATTGTCAGGCCTTTTTAACAAGTTAGCATCTACAGATAATGCACAACAACAGGCCACCCCACAGACTGGGTCTCAACAGGGTAATAAACCAAACATTCTAGGACCTGCTCATTCTACAGGTCAACAATCGTCTCAACCAAGTCAGCAAGGAGGATTCTTGTCTGGTCTTTTTGGTCAGACCTCACCTCAACAGCAGCAACAGCCTGGCAAAATGGCAAGTCCTCAGCATACAGCAACCCAACAACCTAGTCAAAGTGGAGGCTTGCTTTCAGGTATTCTGAAGCTTGCATCAGGTGAAAATGTACCAGAGGAACAGCAGTCACCTCAACCTGCTCAGGCAAGTCAACCATCTGTTAAATCAGGGCAAAATCCGTCCCAGTCTGAATCAGGGGGATTATTTTCAGGCCTGATGAATAAAATTTCAGGTACCATTGAGCAGTCACCGTCACCGT